AACGCGCGCGGCTCAAGAAAATTTCAATAACACAACACACCAAATTATGTTTTTCGGTGCGGCGTGGGGGCATTTCCAGGTCTGCAAGCCGCAATTTTCAATTGTTTTTCGATTTTCTCTCTTCTCTCTCTCTACGACAGTGTAGCGGGTATTGCGGTTGAGCTGAAATCCGTGAAAAAGATTTAAAAACTCATGCATGCGAAAAAATAAATGGTTTAGCAGCGCGAAAATGTGTGTCAAGGGCAGAAACCAAATTACGAGATTTGTACGCATTACGAATTCGGCTATGTTTGCGTTTGTACACACACCGTTTTCATTCCATTTATGAGTTGAGGGTTTATGCACCACATACACACACGAATACACCCGATCTCTCGATTTTCAGCCAAAACATGCAAATTTTTGCGTAGAAAACATTGTTTTTTCGCATTACTTCTGGAATAAATACATGCTGTCTGCGGCATCATCGGGTTTTTCACCGCAACAACATCAAAAAATCCATTAAAATGGTAATAATTTTGAGTGAGCGCATAAATCATTGCATTTATTCGTTGACACGAATTGACAGATTGAAAATTAAGCAAAGAAATTCATTTCATGTCGAAACGGAAAAAGCTACAAACGCTGCATCATAATGGATCGACCCAGAAACGGTAACAAATGTATATCGAGCAAGCGAGAGAGAAAAAGAAATGAAGATGATGATTTTGTAATCGGCTCATCGTAATGTAATGGTGTAAAATTGAACGACTATAATTTGGTTCGATGGAGAGCGAGAAAACGAGAGAGAGAGAGAGAGAGAGAGAGAAAAACCGTGAATGGCAAATAAGAAACACGAAAAATATTTTTAAAAAAATTGTGTCGAAAGTTGATTGGAGATCATGGCTTTTTTTTTATGTATAAGCGTTGCATCGGTAAAGCCCACGAATCATAAGAAGACAGCGAAGCGAATGAAAAGAAAAACGACGACGAAAACCGAACAGAGAAAAAAAAACACACACACAGAGACTGTGAACAAATTTACGAGATAGTTAAATTTTTGAATTTTGAGCAATTGCATGCGAGCCGAGAGCGCAGAGAGCCCAATTGCAAGACATTTCACATTGGTTATTATTCGTCAGTTGTCGGGTCATTTAGTACCAATTTGTCTGTTTTTATGGCATTCCACTTGGTGTATCTCTTTCAGTGTTTGCGCGGCGCGCGGTTAGCGTTCTCATTAATTCCCATTGCCAATGACCGGACGGGAGAACAAAAGAAATGATTTCTATTTCGTAGCGCCGCCGATTCGTCTCATGATTTTCACTCTTTGCACACGTGCATACGAACTGTTTGTCCAATATTATGGGCCAAATAAATCGATGTGCAATCGTAGAAAGTAATGGTTGTGTTTGCTTTCTTTTCACCCAGACCCAACCGCAAACGGAGAGTTGGTCTCGTGTGTGCACCAATTAATATAGGCCCCGCAACAGTTCCAATAAACATCCACATGTCGATCGATACTATAAATTTGATGCGTAAACTCGCTTATTTTCTCATTTCATAGAAAAAAAATTCTCACACATATCAAGGCACCATTCGTTCGTTCGTTCGTCATTCATCTGAACAGAAAATCAATGGCACCAAATGCGTGTACGCAACGCTATTGACATTGCATGAGCTTAGCCAAACGACCGATTGATCGATCGCGCTCGCACCTATCCAATACGACGTAACATTCTGTATAGTGTGTATGTGTGTTGCAATCAGTCGTCGCGATTACGATACCATTTTTCTCTTTTTATTATCTTTCTTTTCTCCCGGCCATATTCGTCTTTTCCGTCGATGTCGTAGCCGTTGACGAAATTATTTTATGTAAATTTCAACAGCAATATAATTACTCGTCACTTCCACGTTTTTTTCTCCGCATACTTTTTTTCGCTCTCTCTCTCTCCCTTCTCTTTCGAACCGCAGTGCTCACGAGATTATGCCATGAATTATCAATGCTGCTAAGGTTTGTAATTCGATTTTCTCTTTGTTGTTGCTGTTGATTCGTTTTTCCATTCATTTGTCGGCCCACGCATGCATTAGCTCAGACCATGGGCAAATACCATTCGCGCAACCAGTTCAGTTCAATTCAAAGTTCAGTAGTTTATTATGACGCTAGCTTTTATTATGTCGTCACCATCTCTGAAAGAAAAAAGATTGCGTGAGCATAAACGGTTTCTTTTTTTCCTCTCTTCTCTCTCCTCCATTTCACAAATTCAATGTTGAACTCAATTTCCATCATGGGACACAAAAGTGAATATGTACAAAGCACGGCCAAAAACACGATCATGTATTGACCATAAATAGTATACAATTGACATTTAAAAGACACTCATTTATCTTTTCGGCTAACATTCAGATAACTGCAGACGAGAAAGAAAAAAAATTGAACTGATTCGAATGGCAATCAAAATATCATGCTTTCCGTTGTACAAGGATTTAGGATCTTCCTTCCAATGTACACAGTACACCATGCAAAAAACCATCGAAGCAACAACGTTTCAAAATACAATAATCCGAATCGCGCAAAATGCGAAATCGTTGCAGCTGGATACTTAATCAAATGATTTATGTATTGCAGGATTTTAAAATCGAAGTTGAAGAGAAGAAAAAATTATAAGTTTTGTGTATCACCTTCGAATCGATGGTAGTGATTATTAAGTTTTACGGTGGGTATTGGAACACAACTCCGTACAAGTACATACTATTTCCTTTACAAGCAATTTAATAATATTTCGATTCCATTTCAACATAGCTGTTGATTTCCAAACGATGGAATTCACAATCACAATACCCAAATAACACAAAAAATTTGTGGCGGTGGCGGCGGCAGTGCCTGGCCTACGAATCGGTTGGAAATGAGCAATAATGAAGGAAAAAAATGAATTCATAACGAAAAAAAACACACAACACATTATAATCATAAATACAGAGCGCGGCTTGCGCGGCAATTCGTGAGACTTTTTCCAAATGTTTTAATTTCAATTGGCCGCATTGTTTGGTTTGTTTGTTTTTTCGATACATTTTTCGGTTGTCGGCAGCATTGTTATAGCAGTAGTTGGTGGGATTAGTTGATTGGTACATCTATATTTGTTAGATATTCAATGCTACCGTATTGTCATAATACATATGCACCCATATTATCTAGGCTATCCTATCTGTCTGTGTTCGTTTCGTCAAGCCTTCATCCACCGGAAAGCAAAATGCCCAAATTGAAATGCGATAAAATTGTCAAATGTTGTACGACAATCGAAATAATTTTGAATTTAAAACAAAAGTGCATATATTTTTCCGTTAATGTTTAATGTACAAGGTTATGACACCGGTCACCGCCGACTCTATGTGAACCAACACTAAACACAAACACCGTCTTCTCCACATGGAGTCTTCAAATGACATTGTCATTGTATGCGTACGTTCACAGCATAGCATTGCGTAATTTTTTTTATGTTTCGTTTTTCTATTGCCCTTTTCACATAAACGACGGCGATTGTGTGTGTATGTTCTTCGTTTGAGTAATAAGTCGAGACACGATGTAAGAGCTTATTAAGCGTCAATGCGTGCCTAATAATTTCGACTCGACCGTCAACGGTCATTTAGCATGTTCGCTGTTAACAAATTCATAATTCGTATATGAGCGTGTGTGTGTGTATGTGTTCACTTTATTAATTGTATGTTAATAAATCGTGGCCGAGAGAGGTTTCTTTGTTTTCGCTATTACCATCCGCATTCGTACCTTGTTTCTTGTCGTGTTTCCAACCGCTAACTCATTCAAACGAATGTAAATACGACAAATCTTCGTCGCATCCTTCCCAAACCGTTTTTTTGCCTAAGGTTTTAATTAAACTGAACACCATTACCGAACACTCTGAGGTCAAAGCGTGTTTAATGTCGGTTCGAAAATTCGCACGTTAAGAAAGATTCCTTTTATTACTTCTTTGAATGGCTTTTAAATTCAATTTCTCTGATGAATCACATAGGCTTTCGATGAATATTAAGAACGGCAACGGCAAAAGGCAATCACTTGAGAACGCGTCTAAAAGGGATCATTATTAATTTACAGCCCAAACTTTGAACTTCAAAGGATGCGAAAATCCGTTTAATTTACGGAAAAGAAAACAAAGTGTGAAAAACGCACCGTTTTGTAATGAAAAAGCCGCATAGCATCCCATTGTAAGTTCGATTTTAAAATTGTTTGATGGAATTTTAAACGGAGAGCATATCGCTTCAATCTCGTTTCGATTGTTGAATTTTCTCTTACTTTATTTCGCTACAAGTCATGTGAATGCGTAAGTTGTGCGCCACGTTTGTGTTTTTCCATCGCTGTGATTTTTCAAGGTTATTGCCACATAATTAAAATAAAAATGTTAATTGCGATACACCACAGAAGCACTTGTATTTTATGCCGAGAAGCAAATAAAAATTCTTACAGTCAATGTTCAACAGCGCTCAGCGAAAGTTACACTGTGGTTTCAGAAGACACCAAAAGAGAAGGAAAAATGACACAAACCAAAAGAGATTGTTAGCAGAGCAAGAGTAGCACACACGTAACCTGTGATTAAGCTGATCTATTTTTGGTCGTGGCATTTTCGTAATTTTCGACAACGTGCCCAACAATGGACTCGCTTTCTATTCAATCTATTCGCATCTTTGAGCACACCAGAATTTTCTCAATTCTCATTGTCTTTTTGTCTGTTGAGCAACTTGCGTTTAATTTGTTTTCGCTTGATGACGTCTTGTATGTGTTCGGATTCGGTAAGCCTGCGATTCAAGTAGAAGATATATCGGCCACGATTTCTGACTCTATTGCAATAAGCTCACACTTAATATCTTAGAAAGTTTCTTCCTATTCTATACGATTTTTGGTTGAGAGATCTATTTACTGTGTTTTTATATGGATTAGGCAATTCGCATTTGAATGATTTCCAAGTGAATGAATTTCATTGAATTCAGTTCTTGTTCTCTCTTTTTTGCAGACGAATTTTCTTTTTATTTCTTTGGTATTGACACAAAATGGTATTGAGCTAGAAGCAACGAACAGTAGTCAAGAACGGAGAACAAAACAAAAAAAACACATCAATTAATAGTGAGTATGTTTCTCTTTTTTCTAACTGGTTTTTATTATTACATTTGAATCACATCAAACCTTTTAAATGCTAAATAATTTTTCTTTTGATGTGTAAAGAATTTACGCAATACATTTCAAGCACGTTGCTTTTATATACTCCCATCAACACCACAAAGGGGAATACAAAAATAGCGAGTGTGTTGAAAAACTCATTTAATTTGTAAATGTGATTGCTTGGCAATTGTGTGTATGAATCGAATAGAATGATATGTGTCAGATTTGGTAGTTATTCTCGTCGACTGTGTGACACTTTGTAAGTGTTCATCACGTTGTTATTTCAATATTAATAAGAACCGATTCATTTCTAATGTATTATTTACAATCTTTTGCTGGCATAATATTTCTCGCTTTGTAAATGCCGTTGATGTGTTTCATTTGATTAAAAAGTGCTATAGTTTGACCTATCATAGTACTCTGATTCTAGTTTGACTTTTAGCTGAAACCATAATTTCAATTTTTCTTCGATTTGTCGTCATTTTCAAGATTGAAAATAATTGAGAGAATGCGTAGCAAATTCATGGAGGAAATGCTATGTAACAAGGGTGGTATTTCCGTACTTGAATGAAAACATGCAAACCCATTTACGAGCACAATCTCCTTTCAAGAGAAGAAAAGAATTTTTATATTTTGAAAGGTGTCTGGAAAAATTCAGAATAATCAACTATGCATTAAATTTGGTGAAATAATGATTGGACTTCTGTACCTAGGTTCAAATGAATGTGACTGAGTTAGAAAACGCGCATGGTATTTGTGATGAGAAGAAGAAAAAACAAAACATACTCACACTCGTCACACAACCGTACCGAAGCGATTATTAAGTGAGTTTGAGGATGACGACCGAATGCGGAAATATCTTATTTAAATGCTAAACAAAATCTTGAACATACGAAACACAATACAGTCAATAACAAAAAAAACCTAAGACAAACGAATGAAAAGAGAGAGAGAGAGAGAGAAATGTGTTAGCTTTGAAAATGTACTGCGTGTGTGTGTAAGTTTTGAGTCGCGAGCAACGTTCGAATTCGCACCAAGGTCGCACATAAACATTTTGTACTACCTACTTACATAATATTAGCTAACAATCAAAGACCCATAGACCGCATTGATCATTCCATACGTCTTAATAGGCGTGTGTGCCGGTGTGTGTGTGTATGTGAAACGAGAGAGAAAAACATGCAAACGCGAGCGCTCGTTCAATGCGGCCAACAGTGTGCTTTTTTTTCTCACTCAAATGAATGCGAGTCGCCTCTATGAATCCAAATGATTTGTTTTCACTTCAACATCATTGCACGGTGCTCTTTCTTCTTGGCATCGTCTTTCGGTGCGCGCGGTACGCTATTTACATCATTGCAAAGCGAACATTACGAAAAACATATACCATGGTGTACGCGTACACTAAAAGCGAGCTACAAATCGCGCGTGTGTGTGTTTGTAATGCAAGTATGGCATAGCTAATAAAATGATGGCGTTAACTCCCATATGCCTTCCACTTGACACTAAGCTCTTGCAAACAAGTTTTGGCATGAAGAAAAAAAACTGTCAAATCATCTGCTGCTTCTATGTGTGCTTTTATGTGTGAGTGGTGTACGAATTATGGGCAAATGCGGAAAAAATTCCACAATTGTCCAATGTTTGACGGAGCTACTATGCTTTTGTAGCACTTTCTATTCTCTGTTGAACTCTGTTTTTTTTACCTTGACCATCGAAAGTCAATGATTCACTGATTCACACCATTGCTGGAGATCCATAAAGGACAAGGCATTTTTTCCCAGTGGTTTTGCACAACGTGAATTTGAATATGATCAGATATATAAGAAAGTAAAATAGGAATTCCGGTTGACCGTTAGAAAACAAAGCAATGTCAACAATGAGTTCAGCCAGTTCGGCACACTTTCCTTTAACGAAATCAAAATCATTATGGAAATGAGACTAGTTTTTTTCTCGAAACACAGAAATCAGCTCGCTTCCACCTTTGGTTTGTTTATTGAACTGATTTGTTTCCTGTGTCGCCGCCGCACATAAAGTTTGTGACGTCCGTTATGATTATGATTATGATTATGATTGGCGAATAATAACAAACGGATAATGATAATGACCCGCTTGTCGTGCGATTAATGGTCATAAAACACGACGATGAACTCATAAAAAGAACATGTGAATAGGAATGACAGAAAAAACGGTTGGTTTGGCTTATGTTAAGATGACATTTAGCTTAAATTATAATATTTGTCGTTTTTACGTATCATTTGCTCGTTCTATTTCATTTTGGCTAATGGGCAAATGGCTGAAAGCAAACGAAAAGCTCTCAGTTCTCCTTTTTTATACACAAATTTTGGGGCAGCAGCAACAAAAAGGCGATCGGACCGAGCTTATAGTTTGCTGTTGGGAATATTTTATTTCTGACATCATATTTCTAGCGATGCTTCTATGAAAAAAAAACAACAACAACAACGTTAACCAACACAACAACAGACATAAACCATTGGCGCATACAAAAAAGTGTTCATTCGATATTTGCTTTCCGGTTGCCTTGCCCATACTCCACGGTTCCACAATTGTTTTGATGCACATATTTATTTTTATGAATTTTTCCGGCACGAGCACATTCGCTTTAAATGGACAAAATTATTTGGTGTTCTTTTTTTGTTCATGGGCTTTTTTCATGCTTGCGGCTAGCAGCAATATTTACGATTCATCGCTTTAAAATATTTTGAATGAGGTTTCAGCGTAGGACATATTTTTTTTAAATCCTGCTATATTTTTCGAGGCATTTTATAATGAATTTTGCAACCAAAAAAAGGAATTTGATCTCATACGTCGAGTTTCTTTAAACCGCAGGAAGAAATTATCCATTTTAATGATTAAAAAAAACAGCATTCATTAGAACAGCATTGCCTGTTAGAAAAATACGAGAAAAAAAACTTTTGAAAAGTTTCAACGGAGAGCAATACTTATCATAAAAAAATACAAACGATTTTAAAAGCAAGAGATATGAAAAACACTCGGAAGAGAAAAACACCAATTTAAACTTTTTTTTTCGTTTAAAAAGCTTTTAAACCTTGACAAGGGTTGGGAAAAAATTATTATAAATTAAATGACATTATTTGATTTTCTCTTTTGAGCCATCTCATTCGTTGAAATGTCGAACATAACATGCGATGGTATTTTCGATCGATAATTTCATTTTTGTATGGGGATGTTGTGTGTATGCACAATTGCACAATTGCACAATTGCACACGGCACTCGATTGCAGAAAAAAATGCATTGCGATAAATTGAATTGCCTCGAGCATGTAATGAAAGATGAAATTTTATTAAATACTCAAACGGTTAAATTGCTTTACAGAAATTCTCTCACTTTATTTTCGGTGGCAATGTAATCGAAACACGAAGTAATGGTTCCACTTGAAGTTGCAATTGAGTCGAATCGAAGCTCTGATGTCCCATACAGAACAATTGAAATACATCTACTATTTTATATTGCCGTTTATTGAATCCGCAGTTGCGTCGAAGTCATGTCGAAAGACAGCTAAAGAGAGCAAAAGAATGAGGAGAATAACAAGAAATTAAATAACATTAGGAACTAATCATTGAGTACTTGGTACCCTTACGCTTAAGGTCGATTTTTGCGACAAGAGTTGAGAATGAGTGGAGGGCTTTTATCTCTGAAATGTAATTATAGTACAAAGTTTTTTTTCTTTCCTCGCTCTCGAGTAACCAAGGAGGAGTGCAGAAAAATTCCATTTCTGTGGAAATTTCAACGGAAAACGAAGAGAGAGAAAAAAAATCATTATTTTCACATTAAGTATGGGACGAGTGTTTTTTTTTCTTCACCCAAATTCAGCGAATGTTGCACGAACGTTTTACGTTTTTGTGCTTCGAATGTTGAGGGGATAGGAAGAAAATTGTCTTATCGCATCTATGCCATATTATGCTATAAAAATATTTCGGCCTGTTCGGGCTGAAAAAGTGATAAAACGCTATTTTCGGTGGGAGTGGGAGAAGCGACTGAAAACAGCAAAAACAGTATCGAATCAATCATTTGAACAAAGAATTGGCAAGTAGAAAAGCAGATGATAGCAACCGTCGATGCCGGCGAGATTGTGTAACAACTGAAACCAACGCATTGAAGACAACCCCATTTTTGTTACCGAGTAACGCGATTTTGTTATGTCGTCAACAAAAACTCGAAGAACCAAATGAACAATGCAACCTTTTCCTCTCCATGCTGCTAACATACTTTATTTTGCGTGAACTTTCGGGCAAAAAATGTTGAAATGTTTGGCTCGTATTTTGATTCATCAACGGATTTTTGATGGTGTGCTTCATTCTATATTTTCCCTCAATTCGGCCCCATCCGATGAATAGTAAGTGCATGAAAATGCATGTATTCAGGACGCTTCGCTTGCGTTAAAGTACATTTCGGAAATGAAATATATATGCAACATCTTTCGCACATGTGCAGACGGCCAAACCATCCGCCCTTGTTTTTCAAATAACGGCATACACATTCATTTGGCACGTTTCGTAGTATTCTACCATCGCTTAGCTACCAGAACGTTATCCGAATCATTTACACTCTGGCATTCGCAGTAGCATCAGCAGCAATAGCAGCATCAGCACAACTACATGCATCCGATGAACCAACACACCATCAAAGAGTCTCATAGTTGAGCTCGACATCGAAACCACAAGATCACATCGGATTTTGGAACGATAAAATGTGTATCGCCTTCACTTGTGTCTTTTCTACTTTTGACAAGACACACATAAACTACGCATCCTCTTTTGAAAACTTTTCAAATGCGTTGAAAATATGCAAGACTATTATCGCTTGTCGAGATAGAATTTGATTTCCTCCTGTGTAGACAGGACGTGTTCACTCACGTCCATCACACAGAATTCGTGCTGCAAATACTATGGAAATTATATGCAAAATACCATTTATGTACAGTATT